AAATAGTGGTGACAATTTACTTAATTTCAATCTACTAAAGTTAATATAACATCAAAGTCAATACCATTTACATGATGTGGATTTTAGTCGGTTTCAGTGATATCTACCAATTGATTTCGCCAAGTAGTACGTTTTTTCGACAAATAACGCTAATCAGTATATATATTGCCAAATATTGAAAATACACACGTTTAAACATGTAAAAACGGAAGGAAGTTCTCTCATAATTATGACTGTATCTACTATCGATTTTACAATTTAATCATTAAAATGGAAAGTTTGTGAATAATTAAAAAAAAACTAAATTCCTTTATTACTACTCCTCTTTGAACTAATGAAAATCCATATTAGTGGAACAAGATTTTTCTTTAGTCTAACCCCAGTAAATATATCTCACTTTGACAGGTTACTTTGGTAACTATGTGAAGTAAAATTTTAAACGGTGTAAATTTGTTGCCATCAATAAATATAACGATGCCTTTAGATGTTTTTTCTCATCGAAATAGTAAAATTAATGCAAATTTAAGTGATTTTGTTTATAGCTAACATTCCAAAATGTTGGATTGATCAATAAACTTTGAAATTAATGGGTATAGTGTACATCTGAAGAATCCATAAAGAAGCAAATATTATCGATTGAATATTAGTGTTACATTTAACTAACGCTTACTGAATTACTTGAAACGAACCATGTATTAATTTAAAAAATTTTATCCTTAAAAATTATTCATTTTTCTATCTTATAAGTAGTGGTTAATAGTGCAATCCAGAATGTACTTTTTGCCCTATTTAAAACTTGTTGGATGAATGTGTCAACAGCATATTGATATTGACTAACACACTAATCTTCACTTCCAGTATACAGTGCTAAAACGTCCAATGCACTAACCACTAAGATATGTTAATTATTAGTTTTAAAGATTTGCATTTTATTCCTTTTTAGATATTTAGAATTAAATTAATAGGACATTATCTGAAATACAATAGATATGTTAATGCAAACACTGTCGATATATATATTTATTCATCCTAGTAGGCTAGTATAGATCGATGAGATTCGATTCTAAATATATGCTAAAGGAAACGCTTACAATTTCGACATTTTATATCAAGGCAGATGAGTGATTCACAATAGATCTTAATATCAGATGCATTTAGTGGATTAAAATCAAAGAAAACGTGGTCTAGTAATAGTAAAAATTGAAAACAAATTAAATGAGTTGTATGGATTATTTGATAAAGCGTTGGATTCGTAATTTATGAGAACATTAATTTAAGTCTGAGCGAATTGTTCCGTATTATTTGGGAGCCGAGTTAATGTAACTCATGAAGGAGGAAAATTTTATTTGAGAAAAATTTCAGCGATTTAATTTCAAAATTCCAAGGTCTCACTCGGCTAATTGGTCCAAGATTTTTTTTTCAATGAATTACGGTCAAACACCAAAATCGTATAATATAAATACACGATTCACTGGTTAAGTTTATACTAGATAGATCGTTCAATCATGTTAATAAAATTAAAAGTGAGACTTGTCATATTGTGTAAGTTATTTAGCGAGGATAAATAAACCAATGAAAGTTTGTGTTATTTTGTTAACCAAGCTGATTTCAAGCAAATTAACTGATTAGAACAAGTAAAAAATATTAATGCTGTCAACATAATAACAGAAGCAAAATGTAAATGAAGTTCAGATTTGCTTAATAAATTAGTTACCATGGCACGGCTAATGGTATTTCATCTCTCCTATTTATTTTGCTTGGATAGATAAATCAAATAGGTAAATTAATGATTACCAGCAATGAAGAGACCTAATTGGTAAGAATCCTGAAATATACTAATGTAATTCTACGATTAGCGATTACAGATTTTTATCCAAGGATTATTTTGTGTTGCCTTGTGCTCTGTAATCAAGAGAAAAATGGACTTCTTTCCATGAAATAAAAGAGTCTATGGTTCAACATACAATCGACTAGATTGCAGATCGAGTTCAATACTGTTACATTTCAGTTTATTTGTGAAAAGTAGTCTTTAATGTTGATACAAATACTAAGTGAAACCATGACTACTGTTGGGATGTCATCGTCTAATATTGAAGTCATTGGTGTAGAGATTAAAATGAATTTAGATTAAAACTCTCTTGTGTCTGTCTAACTGTATAATCTGATGTATTTCAATAACTTGTTTCAAGATAAACTAAAAATGCTTCTGTTTTCCAACATGGGTTTCATTTAAAAGTTAGTAATAATGTTTATAGATATCACTTATCGATGTTAATTTGGTTATACGTATTATTAAAGTAAGATCATCATCTCCTAGGTGAGATGGTAATGTCTTCACTCAGTTTAGCATGTGATGTTGGCTGGTATAGGAGTAGTTTAGAAAAATGCAAGGGACTGCTAAATCTAAGCATGATATCAATCTAATTTGAGTCATGTTGATAAGTGCAGACTACCTAATTAAAGTAATTACGACTGCCGTGACCAGTAGTGAAGATGTTGGGTGACGTATTTGAGAATCGGCAGCAACTTCTCAGGTGACTTAGATCCAGAAATTTTGAATTATTAATACCCGTTGTTTCTCTAATATTTTTTCATCAATCATATTATCCATGTCTAGTCTCTTTTACTACCTTTGATACAACAACTAATATGAATACTCATGGGTCTTCAGTAACGTTCTTGACATTTTCATTTTACTGCACCGATGTGGTGTGACAACATGAAAGAAGTCTGCTTTCCATAAACAGACATCATAATTATTGAGTTGAAAGATAGGTAATTAACAAAACTCCTAACAGTAGATATGCTTTTATATTATTCAGTCATAAGAATTCATTTTGTAAATTGTTTGGTGCATGATAATTGATTAGTTGTTTCACATCATGTTAAATGAAAATTATTGGGGCATTTTGTTTACATTAATGATAGAAGTATAATCTAACCGTACTTTTAATATAATTTTTGGAAGATTGGAATAATTTAGTATTTTACTGATGAATCCAGTGTTATAAAATAAAAGGTAATATATTACTGTATGAAATATGTTTTAGTAAAAACCGAATGATTTGTGAATGTTGAGACAATTCATCATGTTAACCTAATATGGCCAATGGACCAATAATCATGAATGAGAAATATAAACGAATCTCAACAAATGTTTTATTACACTGAAATCATGAACCGGTCAATATCAGACTACTATTGAAAACTCTAAACTTACAGCAATCATTTTCTCACTACAGATCAGTTTCGAGAGGAAATTCTTGGGGTTTTATAGAGAAACTTTAACCAGTGGAGTTCAACCGTATCGAGCGTGAGGTAGTTACAACCGAAGACAATGGAAGATAATCACGCAGTATCGTAGATTGAATGAAGTTGAACATCCGGACAGTTGGATGTAGTCTCGGTTGTTTAGAGATTGAGTGTTCGTAAGCAAGACCAAAGGTCCTTGGTTCGTGTCCCTTGTTTGAGGTCATGGTTACGCATCGCCGGGGATTCCATACTAGAAGGACATGGTCGTCCAGTGCCTCCAGGCTTTATACGGTGGTCTAAAACTGATTGCTTCATGGATTTAATGGAACTCAACGATTTCCATAATTCTTTACTTATAATGTTTTATTCCTTGACAAATGTTCACCTGACCTCCAAAACGTTTGCCCATATTGTTAATTGAAATCAGTGTATGTGAAATACAGGTTGTGGTTGACATAGACACAGAATGGGATAGTTTTACATGTCATGCTATTAATCATTTTTTAGAACCAACAAACATGTTTATTTGTTAACTAAAACAATATAAGGCTGACTTGACAGTTTTGAATTGACTTACTGCAATGACAGCCTGTCAAACAAGTACAATTTGGTTCACCTGATCTAAACTAACAACAAAACATTTATTTAAAAATATGGCATATAACAAAATAGTACGATAAAGCATTATCTTGAACAATGTCAGTAATGGAACTAGACAACCTGAAGGTGGAAAACTGACTAATTAGTTTAAACCGAGACAATTTTTTCTATGTGAATACAAAATCTAGTAGATTTCAATAAATACTGATAGAAACCTATGGAAGTGCACTACAAAAGTCAGAAAATAATTTCGAAATACTGCACAAGAATATTTTTGTACCTCAGCCTATATTTATTCGATAACACCGATAGTGCTACACAACTAACTAAACCAATAAACTGTAATGCTCCACGTTTCTAAGTTTTCTTATCAACTAAACAATGTGAAAGTCATAACAGACCTTATTACATTAAATTACTGAGCATAGTGAAATTAGAAAAACAAGACTGTATCTACATGTTTACACCCAGCTCAAACAAATGTGGAGCGTTATCTTGATGCCTGACATATTGAAACATGTATGTTTCTATTGAAACAACCTAACCAATAATTTATCAGCCTTCTTTCTACTCAATAACACAATATTACTTCCTATCATGCACACCAACTGTGAGACTTGAGGAATGAATAAAATATATTTAGGAGGTCTTAGAATAGGTATGATCAAAATTGAACTAGTTTTCAATAAAGAATATGATGCTGTTTTATGTCAGTCAAGGTGTGGTACTTCATCATTATAGATTTCTAGCGTTTAGATTAAGAGATGAAAGCCTATTAGCAAATCACTATGTTTTATATGGCATATGGATTAAGTTCAGTAACATCCTGTCACTCATCTGTTTTTGTTCTTTTGAGTTGATGAATCAGGCAATCGGAATAAAAAAAACTACTCCAGAAATAGTGGTGACTGTATGAGTCATCATAAAAAAACTAGTATATATATATATATAGGTAACACACGTAATGGATAAAGACTATCATTGGACAAAGGTATATTGATAACACTTTATTGATAGGTAATGTTGAGTCATGTCATTAAATTAGGAGAATACAAATTTCTCGTGATTTCTATCTTAGGCAACGTATATTTCATACATTAACAATTGAACAACCAGCTTAGCAGTCTGCTTTATTGATTCTCTTACAGGTGAATGGTATTTCGGCCATTGATCTCAATCATGAAGATGTCGTTGAGCAGATTCGCTGTAAGTGTTTACATGATTATCACTAAAATAATGTGAAAAACACTCTAATTCAGATTAATCATTCATTTAATTGTTTAACTTTATTAATAATTTATTATATTTTTCTTAGCGCGAAACCAAGTCTCTTTAAGACTCAAAAGATTACGTTATCAAGTGGTCGATGGCTTAACTGGATATCGAGTAGGCTCTATGAGAAACTTAACTTGTAATGAAGCTCCAATTTTGAGATCACAACAACGTCATCATTACCAAAAACGTCGGTCAGTTCGAGAGTCTTCATCAACAGGAAATACAGCGTCTGCTGTAGTTAGACGAAGACCTCGTCTTGGGACGCAAACATTCAAAATAGCCCGAAGTTGTTCACCCCCTCCATTAGTGTCGGTCAGTTCAATGAATGATTCAATAGGTCCACATACAGATGAAGATATTGATTGGAGAAAAGAAGACGAGGTAAAGCTATTGACTTGATTGATTTAAACTATTTTATTATGATCAATTCAATATTGTTATTGACATTTAAAAGAATAATGTAGGTTGTGTTCGGCCAACTCGTTCATGAATTCCCATGTTGGGTTTACGCATAATTTGTTTGCATACATTCAAGATCAGTATACATTGTAAAGCAACATGAATAACAGATCACTTAACTAGTGTATTTATAAAAACCAGAATTTCTTTTCATTTTTGAAGTAAATAGCAGGTTGATATTTTTTTAGCGTCTACATCACACAAAATATGTACATGAACCATTATAGAGTTACTAAGTTGGGATTATTGCTTAATATAGTTTCACTGTATGGTATTTTCTTTTATAAAACACCTTTTTAAATAAAATTCTCGAAGTCTATAAGTTCAAGTATTTCGTTTTTGTTTATCCAATTAATACTAATTAACTAAATTATATATTCATAAGTTGAACTGAAAAAAGAACACATGCAAGAAATTTCAATACATTTTTATTTACTATCACGTATTTAATAACAATTCTAATAGTTATTTTTATTTCTATTGTAAATACTCAATGGAGAAGTTGGAAATATAACAATTCAATTATTCTAATCATATTGCTGATTGTTGACTAACCAACAATTTTACATCATTTGTTCTCTTTAAATTAATCTTTAATAATCTACAAAGAGATTTACTTTGCCAATCATTGTTAATGTGTTTTTTTATAATAATTTTGACATAAAGGAGATTTTTGGCATTTACTTTGGAAAATAATTAAACTTGAGAAATACAACAGGCTAGCAATATTAGGGGGATTGAGTTATGAGTTCTCCTTGGATAATTCAGTGTTTTAGGAAGTTTAGTTTCCTTTTTAATCACAAAAGAAACTTATGATTTATTATCATTATTATTAATAATACTATTATTATTGCTATTGTTTTTAGACGTATAATCCAAAACGTGTAATCGAAGTCAAGAATAACCAGTTAGCATGATTTATATTTCATAATTCCAATCTTAGCACTACTTAGACTCAAATACACAACAAAAATTCCATTTCAAAGCTGTGAAAGTTGTTGATTAAGTGCGGTTCCATGTCATTAATCATTCAATATCATCTTCTGACGGCTTAACGTTCGAAGTTTGTACTCATTAACCACAGAATATATAACCTCTTTGAAAGAGAAGTTAATTAAAGTACTGTATGGGTGTTATCTTAGTTTCAGATTTCTCAACCATGTACAATTATGATATTACGTGACGACTAAACATGAAACCTAATTTCTTGTGATGAGCACGTTGTTATTGAGCCGCTGGCTGGGAATCGAATGATACATATATTTAGACTGTAGTCAACTTGGAATATAGTGCGATTCCCACCCACTGTCACTAATAAATAACTCCCTTGATCTATGGAACCACTTATTTGAACACTAATCAAGATCGAGAAATGTTCATGAGAAGTCGTTACATAAGAAGTAAAACAAGTCATGGAAATGTATTTTATTGGATTAAGATCAGAGGATTCAGAACGATAACTGACTTAGTAATTAGTGATGGACTAGCTGGAGTTCATTTTGATCTCTACTTTTCTTTGCCGCAATTAGGTTTCTTGACGTAAATATCTTCTAACTCATTAAAATACTTTTTACCTTGTCTGACACATTGTTTCCGGGGCAAGTTCCTTTTACTTAATTCTATCGCTTTAAGAGATTAAAATATTTGGACTCATAATACAAACATCATGAAGTCAGTGTGAAAAGTATACGTTCTCAGATGAGAACTCTAACACTATTAAAGGTGGCGACTGCAAATATAGCAAACCAGACAATTCATTAATTACTTAAAGTTCTGATGCTTTCATTTCTGCTAGCTACAAATTGGAGCTGATAGTAAAACTGAGACGAACCATACTTCAGAGACTAGTACCTTAGTTAATAAAACATTTCCAAAAATAGATTTGATAAATGACAACACATCTCTACAATCTGACCTTGTAAACGTGCCAACCAATGAAGGTATAGAAACAAGTAAGAAGTTAGCCAGTAAAAACTGGATTCTTTAACCTTGAAATATGAGTGGTCGTAAAATATTGGCCGCTCAGTTCAAAAAATTGTCTGAATGTAATTACTTTGATAATTCCAGGAGGTTAATTTTGAGTCTCTCTAGGTAGATATAAGTGCGTGGATTTATATGCCGTTTGGGATATTTATTATTTACATAAAAAATTATCAACCTGGTTGGTATAACCAAGCTAACGCGGTCAAATCGCCGCAAAACTGTGAGTTTCGGTATCGAGTACTTGTATATCATTCAAGTTGTTTTCTCGTTGTATAGAAATTCTCTTATATACATAAAATTTGTGTTGATGCTGGCAATTTTATGGAATACCTGTTGCCTATCTGTTTTGATGCTCCCATATAGGTGCGGTGCAGTTAGACGAAAATCCTGCACGGTGCTTCACTTTTAATCTAGTCTGGTTTGTAACCTTACGTTTGGTTTCACAATATATGTACTTGCCTCCGCTTTTAATTTTTTTGATCCTGCCTAATATATTAGACCACACGTGTAGTTCATATGACTACGTTCAATTTGCCTAACCCCATGTTTTGCTTTACATACTGAATTACTAACTAGAATTCTCTTACTAACAGCCTAATTTTACGGATTTTACATGTTAAATGCCTTTTCTATATAACTTCAAAACGTTATAAGCTGCTAATCATTATCTTGATGGAACTATCTGTTAGTATTATTAATTAAAGGTGTGTCGACTTACAGTACTGTTCGTCGGTATTGATCACGATCATTCGATTTTTATCTAATAGTGTGAGTGCATCATCAAGTAAGCTTATACGTCAATATTACAGCTACACTCTGTCAATTTTCTCAGTCTAATTGTTGTGGTCAAATCCTGAGATACACCTGGTTCTGTGAACCACGCTATGCAAAGTAAATAATTGTATCAGTTGTTACAGCTTAAAAATATTGGTTCAAGTAATATAGGTAACTAAGCACCACATTTATTATTATTATTATTAATGGCTTTATTCAATATTATATTTTGGTATAATATAGAATTCTCAGCACAACAATATTTGTTAACTAGTTTTTTCTTATGGCTAGATACAAATTTGTGCTTGTTCCGCGTCTGGAAAACAGTAAACTTTTCATATAAATGGTAGTAACTAGTACTACCAAAATGTTTGGAGTTGATATTACATTTGCCAAAAAACTAGTATCTGAATATTTCAGTACGTGTAACTGTGCCTAGCACTTCCCTCCGGTGGAAATCACATTTATCCTTTCTTTACTTGTTCTGTGTATGTCAAAACTATACAGCGGATGTAGTTTTTATAGGTTTTCAATATTTATCTGTTTATATTTTGTATCTTCCAAACTATAAGGAAGGCTGTCCAAATATGTTCTCTAGTAACCAAAATTTTCGCATTTAGGGTTTCATTAATTTTAACTACTGATCATGTGAAGACTCCCGACCGTTGTTGCTACCTTGCTGTGCTAATGAAGTGTGGCAACTTGGGCCGATGCACATATGTGCCTGGTTCGACGTTGTAACTGACTGGCTAACTGACATGTGAAGACTTCTTTATGTACCTTCAAGTTAAAGCAGTTTAAAAGACAGTAAAAATATTATGGACACTACAGAGACAGTAAAATCTAATATGTTGGTAACAGCACTTTTATTCGACACAGTAATATAATACTTTAAAGAGTTAACCTGGGGGTGGGGGAGGGTAACGAAATAATAAACAAGGCATAAATAGGCGGTGTATAATTAAGCATAGTTTGAGTTAATTCACAGGAACCTCTGAAAATAGGTTTTGTGCTTGTTAGTCTTCATCAACAAAACATAATCAACTGATAGAATTACCCCTACTTCAAAGATTCAAATCATTGCTGGATATATATTAGTAAACTGTATTGCTACTGAGTATAATATGAAACTGATTACTATCCATTGACCTGTTTCTTTCAGTATGATAAGTTGATTACGTAAATCACGTAGGAAGCTGTAACTGAAAGAAATTAAAAGTCAGACAGTCACATACATGGAATTCGGTACAAATGTATATCAGTCCAAGTTACCACGTTTAATATCATCACAACAACAGATAAGTAACAAGATTGAAGGCAAATAAATAGAAACTACGGTAGATCAAGTTCGCTGTTTAAAACCAGATAAAGAATGTATATAAAAGATTACGAATAAAGTCAAGGAGAATGTTTAATAAATTCAAGGTAAAATGAAGTAAATATAGATCCACACCACTGCTGCCATACCACTTAAGGCCCTCGTTCGTAGATTATCTTGTGGGACTCCACCAGGAAGTCTACAATTAATATAGCTTAGGTCGAGAGTCCATGATTTCAAAGACTGGTATGTCAGTCTCCAGTGTTCGTTTAAACTAGCGTATTGGGAGTAGTTCACAAACGGACATTCGTGATGAGTGACTCAATTACTTACAACCTATGTATACCATTTATTTAAACCCATAAACATTGATAAAAGGAGATACCAGATGTACATGCACCACACTTTGCCATTAGATTTGTTTGAGGGCTGGTGTAATGCCCGAGCATCCAAACTGAAGCAGGTGGTTTTCTTTTGAGGTCACTCGCTGAGCCTTTGATATAGAGGTCTAATCTACATGGTGGTGGAGCAACGTTAAGAGATGAAGTCCCATAGTAGCCGCTAACCATCAAAAGGTTTATACGCCTTTTGTTTCCTTAGGATCCTGGAGCCTATGTGTACCAATGGTTTGGAATCAGGGTTTCCCAACTCCCCTAGTTGAACTCTCCGTGTTCATCAACTCAGTCTAAGCTCCAGACATTCGCTTTTCGTTCTCTGAATTTCGTAAACAGCATCCCTACCACGAAAAGGCGATGAGCGGGACTTCCCTGACAGTTGCTGTATACGCGTGACCATGTGAGAGCGTTACGAGAGGGAGCTCCGACTCTCCCCACCGCCAACCGTACCA